GTTAATAAATCTTTGACATGTGCTCTTCCTATATTTGCATGACAGCCGTGTTTTTTAACTTTCTTAAAATTCTATTTCTTGCTATGTCTATAATCTAGTGTTTATTCCTCCAAAAATAGCAACTTTATGGCACCATATATACCACACAGTCAGGCATGCCTCACCCTACCCACCAAATACAGTACGATGGACATAAGTGAAACAGATACTGGCCACGTGCTAGCTAGTTTCCCCATAACTGACCTGGCATTTCCACCATTAGAGTTCTCTTGGGATCATCATATATTCATCATATTTACTTTGAAAGACTGCTCTTGGCAGTTGAGATGGCCAGCCCACCACCCAACAAGGGGCTTTGAAGTGGCTTTCCTGTGGGGATGATGGGCTGGACTGACAGCCTTATTAACTGGCTTACAGGGCATGACCAACATGTCCTCTGACCCAGGTTTGCAAATGACAGACAGTTTTAGGAGATGATTGAAATCCTGAGGGAAGTAGGCTTAGATCCTCCCTGGAATATTTTCTCTCTAGGTGAAACTAACTGATCCTCAAGAGAGGAAGGCCATGACTCAGACTTGATTAGCATCTCACAGCAACTCACAAAATTCACTCCAAGAAGAAACAGGAGGCAAAGAGTTTAATGGGTTTGGGGAAGAAGTCCTTCATTTTACATATTTAACAGGTCACTGACAACTTTTCACACCTTACTGAGAGAATCATCTGAGCCATTAGCGGGTCATTTGACCCACTTTCTTTAAAACCTCTCTAAGCTCAGAAAACAACTCTAATAGCTCCAAGAATAGAAGGTGATGTGGGATGGATTTTAGCCTGACCACTGTCTGCCAGGCAGATTTGCTGGCTACAGGCACTTCCCAGCAGTTAGTCTCTTGCCAGGGAGCTTCAAGATGCAGCTCTGCACTTTTTGAATAACTTTCTTCTGCCCCTGGTACACCAATTTCATACTGTGTATTCAGCATCTACTATGTATGCCAGGAGCTGGGCTGTGTACTGTGGGGTATTTTGGGTATGGAGATTCTGCCCTCAGGGACCTTCCTATCTAGTGGAAGATGAAGACAGATCTAAATAGCTTTCACATGGGTAGAAAGTGACTGGTAATTCACAAATACTAAGATCCCACTACGTGCCAATGAAGGGGCACTGGGTATTCAGTGGAGAGCAAGACAGACTACTCATTGTCCTTAGAATGGATATGTTAACTGAAAAAAATAAATAAATAACAATGTTTATATTATAATTTGGAAAAAGAGAGCTTTTTTTCTCATAAAATTTTCAGCCTGCAGGGGCCATTCCTGCAGGCAAGGAAAAAGCTCCCGGCTACAAGCCAGGAACACGTGCCTTGCAGGGTAGGGGAAGACAAAAGAAACAGGATTTTATACTGAGTCAGGTGGCTAAATACACATATTTAACAAGCTATAGGGGGAGTCATGAATATTTATGAAAAGGAAACTATGCGCCTGCGCAGTGGGGCTTTCTGGCCTTTTATAGGGTCCATGTTTAAAAATGGCAGCCCTCCATGTCAAAAAGTTGAAACAAGGATACGAAACCCTCTCAGCATGTGTTCTATAGGATGATAAAACCACTTCCTTGTTGGTCTTTTTTCAGGAAAGAATGTTGGTATGGCCTATAGGAAATAAGCCTGATGGACGTCGGCAAGGGAGGGGTCAAACTATGCATGTCTGATCGCCCATCCCGTCATGGCCAGGAACTCAGTTTTAAGGTTTTTTGGGAGTTCTGTTGGCTGAGAGGGGTCCAATTCAGATAGTGGGGGGCTTAGGATTTTATTTTTAGTTCACAGGCTCACCGATCATTGCTGAAAGAGGAAAAATAATAATTGTTCAGCACTCGCTATGGGCCAAGCTATGTGCCAGGCATTTTCTCATTTAATTTCCTCCTCACGAGGACTTTCTGTGGTAGGTATTGTTGTCCCCATTTCTAACAGATAAGGAAAGAGGGGCTCAGAGATGTTAGGTGACTTTCCCAAGGTCACTCAAATGGTAAAAGATGGCAAAGATGGAATTCTAATGCCGAACTACCTGACTTGAAAGATCCTGCTCTTTTAACCTCACTCAGTTACCATTAGCATTTTATGGCAATACCTTTCTTCTGTGCAGTTGTGACTGATTTGTTTCCAAATTGAGGAGCCTCACAGGACACAGGTGGGCAAGCAATAAGTCATCCACTCCTAGTCCAAGATAAGGACTCACAAAGCCATGACTTGTATAACCCACAATGTTTGATTGACACTTGGCCCTTGGCATAAACTGTGTTATCCACTTATTTTCTTCCCAGTAGAATGAGAGAACAAAAGGACAAAGAAGAGGAAATATAGCCACTTACAGAGCTAGGGACCAAGCTCTGCCCGCTCCTTTAGGATGTCTCCAGCAGGACTGGCCCCACACACACGGCAGACAGCCACTGCACGGCAAAGCTGAAATTCCAGCATGGCTTCCACAGCAAAAATGATAGCCTCCCTCTCCCCCCACCATTTTTTCTTTACTCAAGGAAATTATTTTAATGCCTTCTATTTTACTCTTTTAGGGGAACAGAAGAATTCAAGACTTTCACAGTTTAACATAGCCATCAGGATGAAGTTAGTGAGCCAGGACAGCCCTGCCCTGTGTGCCCACCTCTTCAGCACCATCTCCCCCGGTGCACCCTGGGTAGTTTGTGACCCATGGCTGTTTGTTCCTCCCCCAGTGCACCCTGGGCAATTCCTGGCCATCCTTAGGGACTCAGTTCAGACAGCTCCTCCTCCAGAATGCCCTCTCCGGCCAAGCTCCGGCAGTGCACGTGCACAGACGCATGGTTATGCAGTAGTGCTGCTGTGTGCCCCCACCCCTCCACACTGCCCTTGGCATAGCATCTGCTACACTGCACTGTGCCCAGGCTTTGCCAATGAACCACTCATCTCCACGCTCCGCAGCAGGAGGAATTGTGTCTGGTCTTTCTACTCCCAATACTGCGTTCAGCCCAGGAACCCAACAGACCTTGAAGGGGAGAAGAACAGAGGGAAGAGAAGGCTGTGCCCAGACTCTGAGCCCACCACTTAACCTTGCTGAGCTCACCCTCACCTCAGACCCGGTGAAATTCCCTGGGGTCAAAGCTGTTAAGGGAGAAAAGGGTGAGGCTGGAAGAAAAGCAGGCTAGAGGGAGTTCCTGTTCTCTGGGAAAACAGGGAAAATCTGAGCAGGTGCTTCAGGGCTCCAGTGACAAAGTTCAGAGCCATTGCTTAGGAATATCTGCCGTGCCCCATGGGGTAGTGAGAATGAGTTGGCTTCTAGTGCTCGCTCCAAAGATGGCCCCAAGCCTGTGTGTCACGGGGCGGTCTAAGGGGTCTCAGGAACAGCTGCTCCTGACCGGCATGTACTGGGCTTGCTAGAGGCAGGAAATTCCATGTTGTAATAGCTGGATTTCTGCCCTTCATTCCTAATCCATGACAAGGTAGTGAACTGGTCATTAAAGAAACAACTTAGGCGGATTTCGGGAACATCTGACTGGGCTCTCTTCTACCAGCGTGCATGAAGAGAAAAATAAAACCGGACCAAAAGCCCTGGGTCACACAGTCTCACCTTCATTGCCTTTGCTAGCCTGACTTACGAAAGACAGTAAAAAGTGTTTAAATGTACTTCGTCTGTCAGTGTCGTAATCAAGGATGGATGGAGCTGGGTTCGCTATTGAAAAACACACATTTAAAAGCTCACTTAAGTGGCTGTGGCCACATTATCAAGCTGAACACATGTTGATCTGAGTAGATTAGAAAAATAGCATCTGGGGAGGGAGTGCTTTTAAACAAGTGCTTTCCAAAGAATGAGCTACCGAGAAGCACTTTGCATACATGTAGCCTATGAACCTGAAGACAAATAAAAGTCAGTACCACGTTGATAACTCCAAACAGCAGACTACAGAATGTGGCTGGCATAAGTTAGAGATATGGTTATACAAGGTTGTGTTATGCAATGTAGCTTTCATTTCCGTCATGGCTAATGAGAGGAAGAATCAAAAAATATCTTTACATTGCATTTGCACATTTTTTAATCAACTAGTGGGAAAACTCACACTTTTCTTCATATTTTATTTACGTTTTCCAAAAAGAGATTCAATATTCTTTTTTGGAAATTTAAATTTGCTTTTTCCATTCACCAAGAGAATTCTATGACTCCTGCATTCAATCTGTTCAATCTCGGTTTAGTTTCAAGTTGGGATTTTGTTTCATTTCCAGACACGTACAGAGTGGTTGGTATCCCTGTATTACTTCTCACTTCCGGGCGCGATCGCTCGGCAAGGCAGTCAGCCTGCCGGGTACATCAAACTGGCTACTTGGCACTCTCTATCCACCCTTTAGGTACATGAAACTGAATCCATACAGCATCTCCTTCTGCAACCCAGGCTCAAAATCCTAATGAACCAGTTGAGCACAGGAATATTTAATTAAAAAAAACTTTTAAAAAATAAATGCTAAGTCCTTATTTAATTATTTGCTGCGCTTCCTAGACTATAAAATATGCAGGTGGATTAATATTCTTTGTTTGCAGGGGTTTATTAACATTTCAAAGACAGATAAAAGCAGAGAGGTTTCTCACAAAGAAATTGCTTCCACAATTCTGTACTCTGAAACATGGTGGTTCAAACCAAAGAAAAGAAGACAATAACCTAATAAGAAAAGGGTCCAGCATCCTTTTCCTTCAAAAGCTTGGTATTCTAGGGCCTAATATGGCTCAATGGGAGCCTGCTGAGTGTCCTAGTGGCACCAGTCATATTCATCTCTGTTGAGAAATTTGGACTTGGCTCAGACCATCTGCTGTCACTGCAGCCCAAGGTTACCTTTCATTTGGAAATCAGGCTGTCAACTCGGTTTAGAATATACACAGGCGAGGCATATGCTTCTCCTTGCTGCCTCAGGAGACTTTGGCATGGAGAAATGTTAAGCCTCCTGATTGAAGCTGTGTTTATAAACTCTGTTCTCTTCTCTTCTCCCCTAGTTACTGTGACAGTGGGTGGCAAGCAACACTTGCTCGGACTGTATGACACCGCAGGACAGGTACATTTTTATTATCTTGATTCATTAAGGGGTGGGGAGGTGTAGGGGGAAGAATGATCTATTTGTCTCGGCATGTGAGGACTAACAGCACAGATATTACCCATTCTGATCATTTGGGGCCAATTTATTATCCACCTAAATGACAACTAAAAGCATATTCTTGATATTTTAAAAATACTTATTACTGCAAACACCTATTTTGTTGTCTTATTCAAGGTATTTATAGGTGTAAATAGTGATCCACTCATTGACCGATGACCATCAATAACCAAAATAACATTTGACCAAGAGTTTCAATTTCCTTCTACAGACACCTATTTCAGATCCAGGATTCATGGGTCAATTTCATAAATTTTAGTCCCACCTCCCACTTTTTTCTTGTTATTTTCTTTGCCCACCTTTTATTTAAGCTGTGAAAAGGTCCAAATAGAAATTGTTGAGGGGGAGGGGAGGAGGTAAGAAGAAGATGGATTAAGTGTTGGAGGGAAGAAAAGCCAGGATCCTAGATGTTTTCCAAAATTGAGGGTCAACCCCTGAACAACTGGAGGTTGACTCTAAATTCTCTGGGATTCTTGAAATATTGTCAGAACCATTTCAAGTTGAAGAACTTGGCCAACCAATAATCTAAGGCAATGGACTAGAACCCTCAACACTTAATCAGTTAACACATTCTCTACTGGGGTGAAAATACCACCTTATCTGTCTTTCCTAGCTCCCCGCAGGTTGCTGTAAAAAGTTTCTAATGTTACAAGTTCATGGATTGGTGGAGGGGAAGTGGTTAAGCAATTTTGTGGCTGTGGCCCAATTTCTTGGATAGCGCTTTTGTTACCATATGTCTTGAGTCATTTATTTAGATCAGAATCAGCGGGTTGTTCAGTCTGTCCAAATTCATACATCTTAAGTCCTTTGGAGTGAACATTTACCATGCTATTTCCCACCGTGAGTTTCCTGGTAATCGTTATTTGTAGTTACGCTCTTGTCTAGGCCTTTTTTCACAATTATCCAGAGATATGTTATTTTGCTCAACTTGAAAGCTCTTTACTAGAAAATAAATAAATGGAATCCTCTTTGGGGATTTCTGTGCACATCTGCCAGGACCACTGTATAGCTGCGTGTGGAACATCAAAGACTGGTGTCGGGCAGGCTAGGAAGGGGGACCTGGAATATCTAGCATCCTACTCAAGGCTCCTAAAAAGCATCCAGTTTCCCCTCACTGGCAGATGGCTATTTGATAAGCTACCGTCAGAAACTGGGGAGTGAAGGACATCTCCCACATCCATAGCAAGACCAGGAAAGGGTGCCCCTCTCACCCCTACTCCATACCCAAAAGGAAAAATCAGTTTGGCTCCTCTGAGCTAGGGTACAAGGACCTCCGTACACACTGCTCACACCCTCCAACAAAGAGCATTCCAGCATTTGAAGTACAATGCTTTGGGGGCTAAAGTTGCCTTCTCTACCTTCAAGCTCACAATCATTGGGGTGTCCCCATACATCAGGAACTCACAGCCTGGAAGAGAGGAGCTTAGACCTCCCCCATAGTCAAATTTTGTGAATATAATCCAGTTTGAAAAGTTCAATACAGCAATGATTATTTTATGATTATGAAACCTCTCTGTGTTTCTCCTGCCTTCTAAAAAAGCTGCCCATGCCCCCATTCGGTTCCCCCCTCCTCTGCACGATCCACGACAATTGCTGGCTCCTGTGCACTGATCACCCAGGGACAAGCTCCACAGGCCTCTATTTAATTTCAAATCCAATAAAACTGTTTATTTTTTTTTATTTTAGCATATTATGGAGGTACAAGTGTTAAGGTTACTTATATTGCCCATGCCCCCTCCCCCCTCGAGTAAGAGCTTCAAGCATGTCCATCCCCCAAATGTTGCACATCAATAAAACTGTTTAAAAGCTCTTGTAGAGTTTAATTATTCTTTCCCACTGCTCTGCCCCTTTTTTAAAATTTTTAAATAATACTAGTATAAGAGTTGATGCTAATACGCAGTGTAAAAATATCTTTAAACTCCAAGTCAAAGCAAGCAGAATGGCCCAACCTCTGACAGAGACATGACGAATACTGACAAAATCTTACAACAAATGGGTTATAGATATTTCTTCAACTAACTTTCACTTTAATGCTTTCCACTCAGCGGTGAACAAAGTCCATAAAGCAGCATAAAGCATGGGGAAAAGGAATCAGAATGTATTTTAAGGTTTCTTCTAGGCCTAAAATTCTATGATTAGGATCTTTAAAGGATAACTTTAAGAAAGCCTGATAGAACTGGAGTAATTAGGCAAAAAGATCTGGGGCTAGACCCACGGGAGACCTTTCAGCAGTAAAAGATTGTTAAATATTGAAATGTATTACATTAAGGGTAACCTGTAATTCAATTCCTAGAACAGTGATTCTCAGACTTGAGCATACACTGGATTCACCTGTAGGGTTTGTTAAAACTCAGTCAGTGGGCTGGCCCCAGCCCCAGAATTTCTGATTCTGCAAGTCTGAGGTCAGGCCCAAGAATTTGCATTTCTGACAGGTTTTCTGGTGATGCTGCTGCTGGTCTGTACACCATACTTTGAGGACCACTGTTCTAGAACACTGCCACTCCAAGTGGGGTCCACGGACCAGCAGCAGCATTGGCATCACCAGGGGGCGTGTTCGAAATGCAGAACCTCAGGCCCCACCCCCAGCCTGCTGAACTTGACAGTTCATGTTAAGAAGATCCCCAGGTGGCTCATGTGCACATTCAATGTTGAAAGTCACTACTCTGGAAGTGTTTGGTGGTTGGAGCAGTGTTCCCAAAGTTAGGGGGATGGAATGGAAAATAAACAGTCCCCAAATTGATTCCCATGTTTTTACAATTCAGCCAATTGTAACAAACTTAATTTAGAAGCACTGTCCCAGAATTTCCACTCCCAGTCCAAGATGGGATAACCTACGCCTCCACAGCTATATTCTAGCTGCTGAGGTCACATGGGTATGGAACATTTATAACTAGTTCAAAAATACTCATCTGGCCAGTTACTAAGAAGGAAAGAGAGAGGAACTCAAACCCGAGTAATTAATCCCTCAACCACAAAAAGGAAACAAGTCTGTGAATCTGGCTAGAGAGTTTCATCTTGCTTAAATAATCAGATTTTCATACACGAATACACCAAACAGCAGTGCCCTCATCTTTGTCTTGAGCTAACCATAGGTCAGAGTTGACAAAGGCAATCTCAATAATTAAGTATGTTCTCCAAGGCACAAGCGATAGGAACTCATTCTCTCTGCCCTCAACAGAACCATGCGACCCTGTCCCCTCTACTGTGAGGCACCTAGTCTGCCTTGGGCCTGGCTGCTGCCCCACCAGCCCCGGCCTGAGACGCTCCTGCCCCTCCCATTATTCAGCCAAGCATTTGCCAAAGACGGTTCATAACCAAGTCACGTCGTGCACATACACTGTCAACATGTGGCAGCTGCTATTAAACATTAGCTCCCTCCCCAAATCCCCAAAACATGAACATTTGGACTTTGGTGGAGTCCTCTGAAGAGAGAGTCTTCAGAACTCTGGCCCCTCTGTTAGGTAGGAGTCCAACCACCAGGTTAGGCAATGAAGTGAGGAATTTTTCTCAGGGTGACTACATGTGACTCCTCAGATCACACGAGGCCAACCAGTCCTGAAAGCCAAATCCGCTTAGCTTGTGCCAACTCATCCTGTACGCCACATGTCCCTGTAGGGTGTTACTGAAAGTCTCTCTTAAAGGGATTTCTAGAGCTCAGGTCTTTGACTCAGCTACGAAAGAGCCCCAGAACTGACTTTTTCATGACATCCTTGCAGGCCAGTTTGTTCAGAGAGTGACATGAGAGAACGAGTGGGCAGCAGGGTGCTGGGGTGGGGATCCTGCAGCCAACCCTGGGCATCCACCAGCTGAGGCCCCCTGGACTGGGAGAGGGGTCTTTCCCGGGTCATGGCTCAGAGCCAGGCGTCCTCCCTTCCCACTGCCAGCCATCTACGACGGGGCCAGCCACGGTACTAAGACGTCTTACCTCCTTCTCCCAGTGGGCAAAGCCCTGCTCAGATAGTAGCCCTCGGGCCAAACTTCAGGGTGGACACACCTCAAAGACAACATTTGCACAAATGACCGTCAGCAGCACTGCTGGGAGGAATGAGCATCTCCTGGTGTCGGGAGCCAGGTGCAACCCGCTAGTCAGCCTGCCCAGGACCTGGTTTCTTAGGAGGTTAGACCCATGAGTTCCCCATAGAACTGGGGGCTATCACTGAGAAACCACAGCCCACAGCAGCTCAAATATTGACGGTCACCGTGGGAGTGTGGAAGCAAAGCCCTGAGCCGAGTCCCTCACTCACCAGGGCTGCCGGCTGCACATCGTTACCGGGCACTGATTGCTGAAGCCTCGATTTCCCCGAGGGCTGAAGAAGCATACACCAGGCAGGGAGGCAGTGCAGCTGCGGCTCATTAATGGCAACCCAAGGTCGACTTGGAAGGACACACGCAGGCCTTCCTCTCTGCTACTGGCTGACCCAGTGGGGCCATCTGGAGCACAGGATCTGGCATCAACCCTCCATGGAAAGTTTGCCTAAAACTCAGAACAAATGTTTTCCCCCAATCAGCAACTCAACCTTTCTTGATCACATGCATCTTAATGTGTTGTTTTTTTTCAGGAGCATGCAATTTGGAGGATTAGGGAGAAATGTGCCTGTGTGATAAGTTATTGGTAAAAGTCACCTCAGGACACAAGCTTACTTCTCCCCAAACTACAAAAAACAGAGCTGTAGGAATGTTGAAAGATGCAATCAGAGTTTGCAAACATTTGGGTTTCATTACTACTCAGCTCAGAAAAAGTTAATTTCAGTTTCAGCCCTTGTATTCCATGAGGGTAGAGAAACTGTTCCAGGACTGGCAGCTGTTGCTGACATGGGGTAAAGGACGGACCTTTCACTGGATCACTAACTTACTACGTTCAGAACAGTGTTCTAAGTGGTCTACAAACTTTAGCACATTTT